AAAAGAGGTGGAAATATCAAGAGAAAATGTGCAAGATTTTTAGCACAAAGCAGTTAAATGTTTGAAGGATTGGCGATTAAAAGACAAACGTCAAATAAATGCACAAGAAGTTAACATAGATGTTCATTAATGATGACCAAGGTTACAAAGGGAAAGTCAAATGCGAAATTACAAAAAGAAAAAGTTAAGGCGTTATATGTCTTAATTACAATCCGCCCCATATTGAACAAATTATTTCCCTAAATTTTTCCCAGTCCTCGTTCTGCCGAGAGGAAGTGATGTTCAATTCGGCCACAACATCATCATCAACTTCCAACTTCTTGTACTGCTCGACCAAAGACTTAGTTCGCTCAATTCCCTGCGAGGCGTTACGCTTTTTAGTAGCCATTCTCGCCTTGCAGTCGTCCATTTTGGCTTGAAGTTCCTTCATCTGAGCAGCCAAACTAGCCATCAAAGAGTCTTCAATCATGACTTCGGAAGAGATTTCTTTCAACTCGTCCTCAGCTTTATTGATCTCCAGAAGTAAAGACTCTTTTTAGATACGACACGAAAATATTGAGTACTTTTGGCCTTTAGTTCAACATTCTTGGCCAGCAAGGAGAGGACCTCGGAATGGATAACTTTCAACGTCGCTTTAAAATCAGCAGAAAGTTTGAGCGACGGAAGTGTCAGTGCTTGCTCCAACTTCGCATTCAAATGCTCAAACTTATCCTTATGTCTGGCAGCACTAGCCTTGCCAATGTCCATATCCATGAAGGACACGTACTCAAATATCGACTGCTTGAGGAACTTCATAGCTTCCTCTGAAGAAGTAGCAGGACGACCAGTTGGAACGGGGCGAGATGTCTTGACTTGTCCCCAGGAAGCGAATAAATCTTGGATGGAACGCACAATCTTATCAGCATCCTGCAAAGAAAATTGCCAATATTGAAGATCCTCACTACAATGAACAAGATGGAAGTAAAAGTGAAACAAAGATTACCTCATCAATAATCTTGGATAATAGCATATCCCCAGCCAAATCTGCCACCTATGGCTCCACCATTCGTGAGGACTTCCCCTTGTCTAAGCGAAAAGATGCTGCCACAACGGGCAGACTCATAGGAGCATCTGCAGAACTCAGAAGCAACAAATCAGAAACCAATAGCACAAGCAAAGATGAAGCATCAAAAAATTGAATTACCTTCTGTTTCGATGTTTGGGGGGTTGACGCCATGGGAAGAAGGTGGCTCATCCATTGGTTGTGACGAGGATTCTGGGACTGAAGGTGTCTCTTTAAGCGTAGTCCCTTCATCAACTGGTTTGGATGAAGCAGCCTCAGCGGAGGATGATGGAGCAGGAGCTGCCGACACCAAGGCCTTCAAAGGAGAGGCTGAACTTTTCTGAGAAGTCCAAATAAACCGTCAACACATAGAAAAGTTTCAAGTATGGAAAAGTATGCTTGTGAGTAAACCAATTTAATTACCTTCCTCCTGATGATAAGAGGGGTGTCATCATCATCATCATCAACATCATCCTCCAAAATGGGAGATGCAGAGGCTAGCCGTTTGCGGCTCGAGGCACTTTTGGCTGCAGTAGGCTTGGCAGGGAGAGAAGAAAATGGACGAGCAGACTGTTTAGCGCGACAAGGAGGAGAAGGATTCCAGATGGACAAAGGGGTGACTAAAACAGGAAGAGGGGAAGAAATGTGTGGCTGGTCCAGTGAATGAAAGGCACGATTGGCATCAGTCGCAAATAATCTGCGCTTCACTGACGGCCAGAGTTGTACAAAAAGGAGATGGATGGCACAGCTAGAATTGAAGAGGACTAATGAAAAATGGCCCGTCAAAAGAAGATTGCGAGCATTTATAGCCTCTGCCTCCGCCTTATTAATGATATGGAAGCGGTCTATCAAATTCCTTGAATAGCAAGGAGGAACAGGCCAGGTTTGGCCGAAACCAAATTGGTGAGCAAAAAATTGGGGAGCATATATTTCTACCCCAGCCTTGGCATTGGTCCCAGTCAAAATATCATGAAATAACTCCCTTCCGGTTAAAAACTGGATTCAAATGAGCAGAGAGGTGCTCGCGCTATCTATAGTGGAGGGAGGATGTACATAGTCTGGAGTCAAAAAGGGAGGAAAAGGAAAGAAAGAAGGGATTGAATCCAAAGAATAAAAGAATGAAAAAATGTCCCTTCTAGACATATTTACAGGAGCCAGGGGCTCAATGGCTAGCCCATAGCAGCTAGCAGAAGGACGAGAAAATGATGGAGCACCAAGCGATGGAAAATAGGATCTCAACCACATTTGAGTGAACCAAAGAGGTCCACTGTCAGTGGGAGATGCACCATTCTTCAATTGAGATTGAAGAGAAGTCATGCCTCTATAGAGGGCAGCCAAAAAGAAAGAACATAAATTCAGAGGCCTACCACGCGCCAATTCGTGCGCTATGGGTAAATAGCTCAAGGAGGGCTTTATGCTTGGTATACACAAAACATATTTACAAAACCAAACCAGAAGAAAGGCCACTCGCTCAGTATGGGAAGGTTCAGCGCTCGAGTGGTTATGAAGGGTTTGCAGGCTTGAATAAGACTCGGTGAGGTTTTTACCAAACTTTGGGGCGCCACCAGAAACCAAGACACCAAGAAAAATGGTATCGTCCAAAGGTGGCAAATTCACTAGGGCCCCAACATCCCTTAAAGTAATAGACATGGGGTCAAGAGGGAAAACAAAGGTATTGTACTCAGAAGACCAAAAACTTAAAGCGATCGAAAAAAGTGCTGAATCAAAAGTAGGAGGTTGAAGAGAGATTTCTAACAAATCAGAAATCCTAGCATTATCAAAAAGTGCCTTAGTAGGACCATGGTCCACAAGGCGAGCATGCCACCTACGGAAAACTACATCAGATTTAGGTCAAGTGCGAATACTTCTTTTGTGAAGTGGCCCCAGCGGTAGAGAGTTTAGAAATGGAGGGCCTTGAGTACAAGGAAACAGCTGGCCCACCGCCGCTTGTTCGACTGCCTCTGCATTGTTGAAGAAAGGACCTAGGTAGAATTCATTGAGTTCGACATTGGCAGGTGCGAGAAAGTTCGGAGTTATGTATGAACGATTAAGGAGTTTCTGAAAGTCATCAAAACTAAAGGAGTCGCCAGATTGAGATTGTGAAGTAGCCATTAGGGACGAAACGGAGTTTTTCAGAGTTACGTAGCAGGGAAGCAAAGAGATGAATAGTAAAATTGTGGGAGAGATGCGCGAAAAAAGTGAGGTGTGATTTAATGGTGCAGTGAAATGGTGTATTTGGGGGTTATAAAGGTTTGCAAAACGTCGCACCTTTTTAAGCTATGGAAGAAAACAATGATTGAAATTCTTGGAAATTTCGAATGTTGCTGGAAACACAAAGTGAATATGGCAAAATTTAATAATTGATATTAATTCTACCATATTGGGGGATAATTGTTGACAAATAAAAATTCAGCCCAAATCGAACGGCCCAAGGAATGAAGCCCAATTGGAGGATCCCCAAATCAGATAGCCCAAAGAACGAAACTCAATCAGACAATTCAGGATGAAGGCCCAAATAGGGAGGCCCATGAACGCGGTAACACCATCGCCCAAGCTTGCAGGTCGCCCAGGATCTGAGCAAATGGAGTGTCATGCAGTCGCCCAGAGCTGCTACTCTATTCTCGCCCAAACCTTTGAGTCGCCCAAGGTCTTAGCAAACATGAAGTGTTGTGGTTATCAAGAAGCGCAGTTAGCAAAGCAGTTATTAAAGCAGCCCTATCATGTTCCACGATTCAAGGAATTCAATTGAAGACGGTTGAACGACGAAAAGTAATGGCAGCAGTTAGAAAAGGCAGTTCCATGACAAGTTGGCCATTACGAAGAAAGTGGGTAGTTATAGAACGATCAAGCAGTTTTTAGGCGGTTAATCACAAAGAGATCATCCAGGGAGTATAAAAGGAAGAAAAGACATAGAGTAAAAGACCTCGAATCAAAAACTCTCGAACAGAGAACATGTAATTTTAAATTTCTTAATTTAGATTTAAACACTTCTTTCAGTAACTCGTGTGCTTGCGCTCCTTGGAGGCATTCTGTTTTTACTTTCCGATTGTAAAGTCATCGCCAATAAAGAACACCCCTTTTTGGAGCTTTGTCTCAAGAGGTTTGTCCCTTACACAATCGTCTGATCCCTTTTTAATTGTTAGCGACGAACCCGCGCGAAACAATTTCATTAACTTAAATAATAATAATAATAATAATAATAATAATAATAATAATAATAATAATAATAATCTGATTTCTAGCAACATCAAACCGAGTCTTATTCATTCAAATCTTCATTAACGAAAATCATTCAAATCTTCTCTAGTTATTGCACAAAAGTCATGAAAACATGACTCACTCCAAATTTCTGCCTCATGGACCAGCATCAAAGATAACTCATTTGGTTGCTACAAGGACAATTTCTTTATGCATCGAAGGGCCTCGAGATGCCATTCCACGAAAAACAATAAGAGAAATTCAAAGGAACTTATATACAGAACGATGATAACCCGTGAAAATATATATTTCTTATTTGTATAAATGAACTATTTCTTCACTACTTGAATAGATTATAATAATTTTGTCCCGCATATCACTAGGAAGTTCGAGATATTAACAAAAGTCTTATAAAGCTTTCGTCTCATTATATATTTAGCCATAATCAATCTACTTTTATTAAAGATTAATTATGTAACTACACTAAAGATTAAGGGCTAATTTGCGTTTTGTGGAAAATTAAGGACTAACTTTTTAATTTGAGCATTTCACTCACTCCCACTATATATACATTAAACGTGACTGACAAACAAAGAATAATCTAATGGCCACCTTTCATTAGACTATGCCCACACTTTTTCATCTTCTTGATTTTCCCCTTCTTCCCTTGAGAGAATTCCAAATCTCCAATCCATTTTAATCTGCAAAGTAAAGAAATTAAAATTAAAATCATTTAATTAAACTATTTACAGCAACATTGATGGTGAATCTCCAGAAATTCAAGCTGTTAGCAACGCAGTGTGCAGTTGCCAGAAGCCCAAATAGGAGCCCAGCAATTCACCTCCGCCGGAGAAGAAGCACTATCCGTATTCTGCTCAGCCTCGGCGGAGGAGGTTGTGGAGGCGGAAGAAGGCTGCAGCCGCGCCGTGAAGTTGGATATCCAGACCACCGGCCTCGGGGGGATGCAAAATCATCGGAAAAGGGGAAGGAGATTGTTGCCAGCCATAAGCTGAAGGATTTGTTTGTTTCCTCGCCACCGGCGTTCGAGGAGAGGGGTTCGGAGAATATGAGAGAAGGGCTTTTACCGGTGGCCGGAGGTGGTGGCGTACGTTCTCGGCGACCTTTATCGGCGATGTTCCGGCAGCGGCTGCTTAGGAGAGCTTGGCGGCCTGTTCTCGTCGCCATACCTGAGTGATTTTGTGAAAAATCGTATTGATAATAATAGTTATTTTTAATCTGAAATTTTTACTTTTTCTTATTTTTGAATATTTTGGCTTCTGCTTAAATTTACTTCCACTTTCAGATCTATCAACTATCAAGCAAAGAAATGTTTGGCACGTTAAAAGTTAAAGAAATTAAAATATCATTTGCTATCTCATCTAGTTTTATCTGGGCATGTCGACCTTTCATCTACTTTCATATCATTATGCTAAAACAATATCGAGTATTACCATATACATGAATGAAATGGGATAAGCCACTCTTTATGTCTCGTTCAAATTTTTAGTTTCTAATAAGTTGATCACGTTTGATGATACGTGTTATTGAACTCGAAAAAAAAAAAAAAAAAGTACAAGGAGAGGGTTTAGTCGAAAAAAGGATAAAAAAAACCCTCACCTCGATGTAGTCACGTGCAGCTTCTATCATCGTGTCTTTTGGGAAATATTTAGCACAAACTCATAATCAAATTTGACGTTGCTATTCAAATGTGATTTTACAAAGTTATTATCCCAATTCAGTATAACTATATCGTCATAATTAAATCTCAAATAAAAAAGTATTGTCTTTACCTTCCATTCGTAACTTTTGACTGTCAAACCAAATTTTAAATTTGTAAAATTTTCATATTGAGGGGGATAATTTTGTATGAATCCTTCTCCATGATAGATCTTCTTTAAAAAAATATATATATATATAGTATATCTTATTACCTTTAAGAAAGAATAAAGAATTTTTGAACCATGAATATTACATAATTAAAAGTGGTGAGAAAGTAGTTTGTGTCATAGCCAACTTGGTTGGGCTTTAAATGAAGGGTGGTTGTTTGTTTGACCTACAAGGCAAGAAACAGATTCATTTAACACATAATTAATTATGTTGAAATTGGAATTTTTCTTTATTAATTAAGGTGGGGCAGATTATTTTTTAAAAAAGTACCAAAAATCATGAAAGGGACAATTAAATTTTAGTTTGGCCTTTGTTTCTGTGCTTTTGACAAATGCACCACTCCCTAGAGGATGCTTTTGGACCTCCTATTGACAACATGAAGCACTTATTTTTAGATCCACATTTTATGGCATGTTTGTTTACTTATAACTAACTTATTTGAATAATAAAAAGGGGTAATTAAATTTATGCCACAATTTTTATTTCTTACATCACATTTTAACTATACTTAAGGTTCTTAATCTTCACACATTATAACACTATATTGCTGATGATTTTTCATGTCGTTCTTTTTCTCAAACTTTTCATTAGTTAACATATTTTATATTTGATAACTTTTTTATTAATGATGAAGAAAGAGAATTCTTGGTTCGGTCAAAGACCAAAAAATGAGTTATTTATACCAAGCATTCTGACCATAGAAATAAAAGGTTAATCCTTACCAACTTGATCTTGTTGCTCCTGGCAACAAAAAAGAGTCGGTCTGATCCTCTTATCTTGATTTCTCGAATCGAGAAATCCATGAATCGGATCAAAAAATCATTGAAATGAAGTAAAACGACTTATTTTTCATCATATTTTTAATAAATAAATAGTGTATAAAAATATTTTCCCCTCATGTGCAAAAATATTTTCCCCTCATTTCAAAGCATAAAAACAAAATATTTTGAAATAAATCATCATCAAGTACGAGACATACTAATTAATGAAAGATTGAAGGTAAGAATTAGACGAAAAAAGTCAAGAAAATAGTCGTTATAATAAACAAATATTAAAGTGTAATTGTAATTAAAATATGGTGTATCAAATAAAAATTATGGTGCTAATATAACCACCCAAAAAAAATCTATAAACCTCTTAAATTAAATGAAATGACTAAATTACCCTTAGCGAGAAAACCTTAGTTATAATCATATCTATTCCCCGTCAAACTTCAAACACATTTTACAACCTTGATGTTAGTTCAAAATTCAAACCTTATTTGTAAATAGTAATCACAAAGAAAGACTGAGCATGTTCAATTGAATCAAAATTAGTCAAAATTTTGCGTGGGAAAATTAGTCAAAATTTTGCTTGAACCCAAAAAAGGGAGAAATAGAGCAAAGAAAAGGCATGCCTTTGAGAGAAAGCAAATGCATTTAAGAACATTTTACGATGAATCTCTCACTTGCACGATACGCATTTCTATCACAAAGAAAGGGGGGAAATGGCCCTCTACTAAAGCATTGAGGCCCACCTCTCTTTTTTTTGTCTAAACACAAAATTCGACTCATAAAAAATTAAAGACAAACAAACTTTACATGCACAAGACACACACATGATACAAAATATAAATTACAAACTAACCAACGAAGTAAATTGTAGAAATCTATTGAATCTGTCAATGCCATGCACATCACATCTTTTTGGCTTCGTCGCCCAACCGATGGAAATATGTGGTGCGGTGAATGGTATGGTATCCTATTGAGAATCGAACTGGTGACTTATTACCAGAAGCTGTGTGCTTCCAAAATTGTATTAAAGTCGTGCTTTACAAAATAACAACTTTGTAAGTGGATGCATTCGTCTGGATCTTGACACGTGGTGTTATTTTGACCATTTGATATGCTTCTAGATGATTCCAGCTACTTAGGCCCCATTTGACCTCTCGTCTGGCAGATTTGAAGAGATTTTCTAGCGTTCTGTTTTTCTTCTCTTCGTGCTCTCTCTGTGAAGAACACCTTCGTTTCTGTGATTAGGGCTCAATTTCTTTGAGTGTTTTCAACATGTAAACTAGTGAAAACTCTTGTACTATCATAGATCTTTTAGAGGTGTACTATTGAGTGTTGGTTTGTAAGAATCTGTGTGATTCTTGGGAAGAGCAGTTCGGGTTCTTGGAGATTTTAAGGGCCTAAGTCGTTTCCTTTGTGGATTCGTAGTTTCCTTCGTGGATATTGTTAAGATAAGTCTTTGCGACTTTATTCTTGTATTTCTCTTGAGATAGTCTTGTATTCTTGTTGTCGATTTTTTGCTATTTTAGTGCAACCGAGCTAAATCCATTTATAATGGATGCTCAATAGGGGATTAGGCATTAGATGTGATCGTCGAATCTCTGGGACTTCGGTCGAAAAATTCCTTGTGTTGATTTTCTTATTTCTGCACTTTATCTTCACTGTTGTGATTGTGGTTTTGAATCTTGGTTAATATTTGGTATTTCTCGACCTTTCAGTGGCATCAGAGCAACCTGGACTACTGGAGCTAAGTGACTTCTTGATTAAACCGGATTCTTAAAACCTGCTTCAAACTGTCGTGAACATTGTTTTGTGGAATCTGAGTTCTTTCAAACTATTTGTTGAGATCTTTCCTGCATTCTGTAATTACTAATTTCTACAGTAAAGTCTCCTAATTTTTCCCTTGATTTGCCTTGTACTAATATCCCTCACGTGTTTGGTCTTTGTCCAAAGACTCAAGAAGTCCTGGGAATCTGAGATAACATGTTGAGGAGTGCAATTGGATGAATCTTGCTGGAGAAGTTAGTTGAGGCATAGGAATTTTTTGAATTTTTTTTCTTGTGTATTCTTCATTCATACTTAGTGTTGCGTTTGTTCACTGCTTGAAGAATCTTGAATAAGTGCTTAGGTGATTAGCCTTAATCTCCTATTTACTTGAAGTCAACTTACTGCCCGTCTTTGTGTGTTCTTGAATCAAACTTGTGTTCTGTGAACTGTCTTAGTGAATCTTGTCATGGCTACTACTAAGTTTGAGGTGAACATGTATGATGTTAGGGGAGACATTAATATGTGGAGCCAGAAAATGAGGGCTATTTTGATGCAACTGAAATGTGCTAAAGCTTAGATAGTTCTTGGCCTGCTGAAATGTCTGTTGCTAAAGGAACTGAGTTAGAAGAAATAGCGTGGAATACTATTATTTTGTACCTTTCAGACAATATGATTAGGTTTATAGGTGAAACTAAAATTGCTAAAGAGTTGTGGACCAAGTTGAAAGCTTAATATGAGCAAAAAACTGTTCCAAACAAATGTTTTTTGCTAAAACAATTCTTTTCTTTCAAAATGAATTTAGATGAGAACTTGGACAGATTTACTAAACTGGTCCAAGACCTTGTCAATTGTGATGAGAAATTATTAGAAGATCAGCCGACGGTGGTCTTGTTAAACTCCATTAGTGATAGGTATAGAGACCTCGAGAATTCTTTAGAATATGGAAAAGATAAGTTTACCACATATATCATTATAAATGCCTTAAAAAATAGGGTTGTTAAATTAAAATCAAATTCTATCAACCAACAAAGTGGTGAAAATCTTTTGATAAAAGGTAAAAACGTTGGTAAATCTAATTTTCATTTAAAATTTCAAAATGACCTTAAGAAAAGGAACCATGACAAAATGAAATCCAAAACTAAGGCAAAAGGAAAGAAATGTTATTATTGTCGTAAGTTGAGTCACTTTACAAAAGATTGTTACAAAAAGCACAATGATTTGAAAGGAAAGAAACTAAATGAGAGTAATGTTGTTTTGTCATACGATAAGCAAAATTTTGATAATTGCCTGATTTTTATAAATATTGAAAGGAACCTAAATCAAGAATGGATTCTTGATTCGGGTTGCTCTTTTCACATGTGCCCTAATAAAAACTATTTTTTGAATTTTGAACAAACTAAAGGAAGCCAAGTTATCATGGGAAATAACATGACTTGCAAAGTGAAAAGTATTGAAACCATAAATTTCTTTTGGAAAATGGTAGAATTTTATTATCAAAGGGGGCCAGATTTGTCCTGAATTAGAAAGAAGCCTTATGTCTCTAGGAATGTTGGAAGACATGAAGTTTAACATAAAATTGGGTCAAGGACACATAAAAATCTTTAGGATTAGTGACTTGATCACTTCTATCCCAAAGAGACATGGTTTATACTTTCAAAATGCAAAATCTTTTTTTAATGGGTCTTTCAGTAGCAGTTTTAGATGATAAATTTAATCTTGCAAAATTATGGCATTGTAGACTTGGTCACATCGGGGTGAAAGGTTTAAAGGCCTTACAAAATAAAGTTGTATTTGGAAAATCAAATATTGGTGAATTGTCTAAATGTGAACAATGTTTGAAGGAAAGTAAGTTAAATTACATTTTCTCACTAGTACTCATAAATCAAAGCAAATTCTAGAATATTTACATGCTGATTTATGGGGCCCTATATCCACCCCTACTTTGTCTGGTTACAAGTACTACTTGCTGATTATTAATGATTTTTAAGAAAATTTTGGGTGTTTCTTTTGAAAACTAAAGATGAAACATTTGCCACATTTAAAAATTGGAAAACCCAAATTGAAAATCAAACTAATCTGAAAATCAAAACTTTGAGAACAGCCAATAGACTAGAATTTTGCAATTATGAGCTTAATGACTTTTGCAAGTTGCATGACATCTTAAGGTATAGAAGTGTAACCTACACATCCCATCAAAACGGCATTGCAGAAAAATGAATAGGACTTTGTTGAATAAAGTTAGATGCATGCTTTTGAGTTCTGGCTTACCCAAATTATTTTAGGATGAAACTATTAAAACTGCTGCATATTTGATTAATAGAAGTCCTACAAGCACTTTGAATTTTGATGTGCCTGAATCTGTGTGGACACAAAAGCCTGCGATTTATTCTTACTTGAAAACATTTGGTTGTACTGCATATACTCATCAAAACATTGGGAAACTTGAACCTAGATCTATCAAGTGTGTGTTTTTGGGCTATACTAAAAATGTTAAAGAATATAGGCTGTGGGTTTATGGGGAAAAAGGTTACAGGGTTATTATAATGATGGATGAGGTCTTTAATGAATCATGTATGCCATGTTTGGAAGGAAAACATGAAATCTGACAGAAAATGATGTCTAAATTGAGGTGGAGCCTATTAAAATTGATAATACCAATTTTGTCCCCCTCGAAACAGCAACTTAGGAGTCTGACCAGAATGAAAACGAGCCTGATTTGGCTGAACCTAAGCAATATGATGACAATAATACACTTCTAGATGAATACTAACTCACTAGAGACAGGGATACGAGGCAAATTAGACCAGCTACTAGGTTCAATAGTGATGACTTAGTGTCTTTGTTAACTTACCAAGAAAAAACTAAATCTGAACCTAGTTCATATCATGAAGCCTTAAAATCTAAAGATTTTAAGCGGTAGTTGAGTGCTATGGAAGAAGAAATGTCTTCTTTATACAAGAATAAAACTTGGGAATTGGTTGATAGACCTAAGGATAAGAAGCTAGTTGATTGCAAGTGGATTTATAAAATAAAGGAAGGGAAATGTGGTACTAATAATGTTAGATACAAAGTTAGACTTGTTGTCAAGGGTTTCACACAAAAAGAGGGTGTGGACTATAATGAGATTTTTTTCCCCGTGGTTAAATATACAACTATAAGATGCATACTTGCTTTAGTTGTGTAATTTAAGTGGAAATTTGATCAATTAGATGTAAAAACTGCATTTTTATATGGTGAATTGGATGAAGTGATCTACTGAAACAGCCTTTAGGATTTATTAAAGGACATCCTGAGAAAACTGTGTGTTTGTTAAAAAAATCATTGTATGGCCTAAAACAAATTCCAAAACAATGGTATAAAAAATTCAATTCATTTGTCTTGAAGCTTGGGTTTAGTGAAAGCAATTACGATACCCGTCTTTATTGTAAAGGAAGTTGAGGTAAAGATTCTTTGTATCTTGTGCTTTATGTTGATGATATACTTCTTGCTAGTGCCAATAAATCTGAAATTGATAATTTCAAAGACAAATTAAAATTAGAATTTAGTTCTTTATGTTGATGATATGCATCAATGCATTTAATATGTTTTATTGTAAACCTGTGACTTTTTCCCTTACTAATCACTTTATATTAACATCTGATTCGTGTCCTAAAACTGAAGACGAACTCGAAAGAATGTCAAAAGTACCTTATGCTAATGCTATTGGTTCAATCATGTACTTAATGATTTGCACCAGACCTGATTTGATTTTCGTATTAGTGTTTTGAATAGATTTATGGAAATCCTGGTGAAATTCATTGGGAAGCATTGAAATGGTTATTGAGATACTTAAAGGGTTCATCAAACTTAGGATTAACGTTTAAAATGGACAAAGAGGGGGTAATTTTAAAGGGTTATACTGATTCTGATTTTGCTAGAAATGGAGCAATAGAAAATCAACTTCATCTTATTTTTACACTTTCTGTGGTACTATGATAAGTTGGAAACCTCAGTTACAAAAAATTGTTGCTCTATCTTCCACCTAGACTGGATATATTACAGGCACTGATGTCATTAAAGAAGGCATATGGCTGCATGGTTTGTTGAATGAACTTGGTTTAGTTGACACTAATCCAATACTATATTTTGATAATCAAAGTGCATTCCATTTGAGTGAGAATCCCATGTTTCGATAGAACAAAACATGTTAATGTAAAATTCCCTTTTATATGGGATATTATCTCAAAAGGGATGCTGAAAATTAATAAAATACCTATTTTGTATAATCCATCAGATGTGGGATATGGGAATTACGGTGATACCTTCAAATAAGTTTCAAAACTATTTAAAGATGTTATCTATTAATTCTTTTCATTGATTGTACATGTACTTAGAGCAAATGAAATTATAAACAATTAGTGAAGCTCCTAGCTGTACTATAGCGAAGAATTTTGGAAACAATGTGGAGATTGTTGAGAATCGAACCGGTGACTTATTACCTGAAGCTGTGTGCTTCCAAAATTGTATTAAAGTCGTGCTTTACAAAATAACAACTTTGTAAGTGGATGCATTTGTCTGGATCATGACACGTGGTGCTATTTTGAAAGTCTAATCTACTTCTAGATGGTTCTAGCTACTTAAGCCCCATTTGACCCTTTGTCTGCCAGATTTGAAGAGATTTTCTAGGGTTCTGTTTTTCTTCTCTTCGTGCTCTCTCTCTCTGTCTCTCTCTCTCTGTGAAGAACACCTTCATTTCTATGATTAGGGCTCAATTTCTTTGAGTGTTTTCAACATGTAAACTAGTGAAAACTCTTGTAATATAATAGATCTTGTAGAGGTATATTATTGAGTGTTGGTTTGTAAGAATCTGTGTGATTCTTGGGAAGAGCAGTTTGGGTTTCTGGAGATTTTAAGGGCCTAAGTCGTTTCCTTCATGTATTCGTAGTTTCCTTCGTGGATATTGTTGAGATAAGTCTTCGTGACTTTATTCTTTTATTTCTCTAAGATAGTCATGTATTCTTCTTGTTGATTTTTGGCTATTTTAATGCAACCAAGCTAAATCCATTTATAATGGATGCTCAACAAGGGATTAGACGTTAGATGTGGTCGTCAAACCTCTGTGACTTCAGCCAAAAATTCCTTGTGTTGATTTTCTTATTTCTGCACTTTATCTTTACTGTTGTAATTGTGGTTTTGAATCTTGGTTAATATTTGGTATTTCTCGACCTTTCATATCCCGCACTCGTTACAAACCATAATGTTCCGTATATGCAATCATGAATGTTTGCAATTCGTATTCCCTTGATGAATAGGAGCATTATGCGTGAGGTGAATGCATTGGCACAATGAATAGAGCTACCATGGGTGGAAGGCCACTCATTCGATAATTGTCCACATTCGATCACACTTTACAAAGTTATGACCCTCAAGCCTCGATGTGAGGCCACAATAATTGGCGAAATCTAGTGTTGGTTTGATAGGATGGAATTTACAGTATTAGACAAAAACTTATAATCAAGTCATCGAGGAATGATATATCATTAGACAAATAAGGGAGAAATGAGGAAAAAAATTGAATTTGTGAGCAAATGGAGAGAGCCTGTTTTTTGCTTATTGTAGATATGATGTGTGGTGTGAACATGCTCGCAGAGAGGTTTTATGTCATGCAATTTTCTCTGCATCTAGTATATATTGAACTTGACTACAAGAAGATAAACGATCAAATAGACAATATAGGCCACCAAACCAACATCACTTTACCTCCAAAAACTGTCCATCCTTATGACCATTTATTAGAGATGAGTAATGCCTCAAATAACAATCTGCCACATACAACGACCATTGCAATCGCTGGCTGAATAACATTATTCATTGGAGAATGCCAGAAGTGCACAATCAAAATGTTTTATTTAGGGGAATACAAAGGTGATACTACGCGTTGCATTCAAAGATAAATAATTAACTCATTCCCTAATTTTTAACAATTTCAAAAAGCAAAAAAAATGCAAAATTTGCTTTCCTCCTGAATTTATCGTTACAAGGGGCGTGTAACTTGAAAGGAGAGGAGATCAGTTATCGAACCAACCTTCAGTTGACATCCACACTTTGTTCCAGCTCTTCTCACAGAAAGCTATGGCAGTCACAATGAATTTGAAGCGGCATTTAATCAGAGAACGTAAACAATTTATTGCCCTTGATCTGTATTGACAGCCAAATCTGTGTTACACAGCTCCAGTCGAGCATGTGTGTATGCATGTATGCAGCTCCTGGTAATATTGAATGTCGAGAAGATAACATTTATATGTCCAAATCATCGTCAGGGTCCTCATCTGAATCTGGCATCTCGTCATCTGAATCGCGAAAATATATAATCTCGCCCCTCCCAGAATCTGTAACCGTCTGCACTTTCTCTGCAGAAGTATATTGTATTTCAGCTCTGTCCTCATTGGGAGACTTTCGACCATCATAAATTTGAATGGTTTTACCATTTCCTTCAAGCAATCATGGACTTGTTATTAAGAAAACGACATAATTTAATATGGAAAGAGAAGAAATAAATATTATCTTTCCTTATTCTGAATCAAAATTAATATTATTTTAAAATGTAGAAGTTCATAATGCATCCATACCCTGGTGCTCAAATGGAAGTACAACTTTTGCCCTGTCATTTCGCTCCTTTTCCGACAACTCTAGATTGAACTGGACCTGCCAACAAAGACCCAATTTGATATTTTATTTAACAAGTATTAATATGTGGTTTGCATCGCATCTGCATTCGTCGAGTGTGTACTATTATATCGTTTATTCCTAGCTTAGACATTAAAGTGTGCATAAGAGGGTAGAGTAGAGTAGAGGTAGCTAACTCCCCAAGAGCAAATCTTTATTAACACAAATTTCTTTGCATCCATTTTATTGTTCAACCAGCCCACTCACCCAAACATAAAAGGTACACATTGCAGATGTTCTAATCAAATATAGATACGCAAGTAACGCAACATACCTTAGGCACAAGGCTTTGGGCAATCATTTCAGCTTCAGAAGAAATGGGAGTGAATTTGATGCCTGATTGCTCAATACAAAATTCTTCAGACTAAGAAAAGATATGAATACCATCAGATAGTCAGCTACTTCGATATTGTGGAAAATTAAATTGGAAGAAATAGAAACAAATACAAAAAGTGATGTCACATGTTTGCGCAAGAGAATGTGTATGAAGGCATAGGATGCCATAGTGGGAAAAAAGGAGGTGGAAGTTGGGCACTGTTAGGAGAGTACCATCAATCTCACACGTCCATTTCTGCGTTTGAAGCGTATGTGGATCTTTCCTCCTCTAAGGTTTTGTTCCAGGAAAGGAAGTTTCTCAGAGTTGGCTCGCTGTCCATTTATTGGCCGAGTTATTGGATCTGAACTGGCCTGAATGGAGGATATGTACTCGAGAGCAGCAATCGCCTTGGTCTCGTGAATGTCAGAATGCAATAGCCAAAACAGGCAAGATACCTGGCCTGCAATCAACAATCATTATGTCATCGAGAGTAAAATTATGTTTTTTATTCCTTTTGATATATCTTTTGGGCAAAGATGTGACAGAAAAGGTTGTATTCATGCAATGACAACTGATAAATACTTTCATCAAAAACAACATGACAAATTGGGCTGGTCGATGAAAGAATTACTGTGACTCGATAAATTAGAATATGAATTTATTCATTTTAAAATGAGATTGTTAGCGGTCGAGTATTATGGAATATAGAGTCTGGGGCTGACCAAAGTGTTAAATAATAACCACCCTTTTACACAAAGATCTCCTTCTGTTGTTAGTTATGTTGTTGATACTGATGAATAAGATGCTCGATAAATAAATTGCAGAATAAGATTTAGTTATCCTGAACCTCAAAAATTTCATAGACAACAAAAGCATAAACAAGAGATTACAACCCAAATCAAAATTCAATAGAAAAAACATATTGAAATTTTTTTGAAAACAACAGATAGATGGGAAAAGTACAACTGTGATTAACCAAAAACCTTCAATTTCTTTGAACTCGTCAGACGTGTACTTGACCTGATCCATTGGAAAAACCTAATTCAATAGGTTTCTTAAATTATTTGGAGGTAGAAATGATAGGTCTCCGCAAATCCAACTGAACACTTGATCACTACATGCTACGAAAACAACCTCTACCACGAATTCCCAAGGCACTATAGCAAAGTCTAATCATAACAAGAAATTATTTCCACATAAAGCAATGCATTCAGACAACGCTTATCTTCCAACTTCGTCAATCAAGTTTATGGGTTACAACCTCTTCAATCAACTTTATGAGTTATAAACATAACAGACAAGGATGAAATTCGTAAGTAAATTCAATAATACAAAAGATCTCATAAAGTTGAAGAAACAGTAACATACTATGACTCCGAAGGTTGCTTAGAAGTCCAGCAACTGAAGAGATGGATGCGTGCCTTAGCATCTCGCTTACCTGAGAAGAAATTAAAGTTGCACACCATAAGCAATGGTGGGGCGAACTGATATTTATGGGGGAGTACTAGATTTTAATGGATTTTAAAAGATCATGAATTCTAATGAATACTGTGAAGTTGAATAGATTTCCACAGAAATCATAAGTATCTCATTAGAAATTGTGAAATTTCAAAAGAGTTTGTTAAGTGTAATTTTGAATTGGAATTCATCCAAATCTTTCGAAGTACTTTATTAATGAAATCCTTTAAAATCCATCAATTATTGAGGATACCTAAATTTTAAAGTACTTTATTGAAAAATCATTAAAATTTTAGTTGGGGCACCTAGATTTTAACGGATTTTAATAAAATCCATTATAATCTCAATTGGGAACACCTTCGGACTTTTAAAATCCATTAAAATCTCTGTTGCAGACATTTGTTAACCTCTAACATTTATTAATCTAATTGACAGTTGGTGTGAAATTTAGTCAATCTAAATCTCAAAACTAATTGGCTCAATTTCTTAACAGTGGCAACAAGGAGCTTCTTTGCCATTTATAATTTTAATGGATTTTTTCATTTAATTATTATTGGATGAAGTGCACAAGGAATATTGATGAAGAAAAACCATCAACTGCCCCATTACTGCCATACAATGATTAGAAGACACAGTGGCAGAAGATTCTATCATGAAATTTTCTCTGTGCTGCTGACTGCTGAGTCTGCTGCTTTTATTTCTTTACAGAGAATGGAACAGTGCAGTGGAAGTCCAAGAGCTCATAAATGGTACTCCTTGTACTTTACTTTCTCAGATTTCATAGCTGATATAACTGTACTAATTTTAACCCGAAAAGGATTATGCAGTTTGCAAAAGGAATTTAAAGACCTCAAACTCTTTTATTTTTACCATTTCAGCTGAAGAGCTTTACTAATAATAAGCCTAAGAAATGCAGTCTAATTAGTGATATTCCTTCCCTTGTTTCACAAAAAAGAGAATAATTTGTTGAAGACAAGCACGTGGCTCTCTCTAAAAGCTTAAACTATTTAAATCAAATAGTTCAACATGTTATCGCAGTAAGCAAAAGTCCTAACTTCAAGTTTCACCGCTATCCATTTAATGAAGTTAAACAGGTGTCAGGCTTTGACAGGAAAAAAGAACCTTTCTACACGTGAGGGGACATGTTGAAGATGAAATGTCATTGATATACACATGGCTCTCTTTTAAAGCTTAAGGTTTTAGATCGAGTGGTTCAACATAATCTATAAAAACAAACCTTTCTTAGTTCTTAAACTGTATAGAGGAATTTATCTCTGTTTTACCATCTAGGGTGGGCATTGGCAATAAGAAATAGAGGGTGTTCAAATTCAAAAGAACCAACTTCAACTGATGTATGTAGAATCCAGACTGTTTATACGGTCACTGGTCAGAGGAGAAGCACAGAAAGCATACAGAAAAATGCAAAATATGCAGCTATTATTCTGGAGATTACTTTACATCAGAAGTAACGAGAGTGCATGGAGTAAGATTCACAATACTATTAAGGAATTGCAAACTATGGATGTTCTCTTGGCATCTTAATTTGAGAAATGAAGAATTTTAGATGATTTCATTTACCAAAAAAAAAAAAACAAAACAAGCTGAGGCCAGATTTCATCTTTCAATGTGGCCAAACAGCTAAGTTCCTCTTTTTGTTAGCAGCTATCGGATTCTTTACATAAAGCTTCCACTCATTCTCCGACAGGCTTTGCCAAAATCCTCTCAGAAAGTGGGGAAAAAAAACCATCAACTAAATTTCATTTCTAACTTACAATCCATCCAATAAAAAATAACACCAGCAATAATCATATTTCCATTTCATCAAATTCAAATAACCTCAGGGAAAAGGAAAGTTACCGAGTCTATGGCAACCGCAAAGCGTCCCTTTCCATCTTCAACCAATTCTGCAACCACAAGGAAATCAAGTAATATTAAACTCAATACTGTTTTTAATTTCACTACAAACCCATCATTCACATTGTCTAACGGTAAATATTAAATAGCTAGAATTTCACTAGTACTCGTACCTTTCCCTAGTTCAACAATTGCCAACAATAACTTATTCAAGTCTTTCACATTTTTATATAAATTAGCCCTAGTTGAAGTTCCAGGAGTGAGACTCGCAATTCTTCCACTCTCCATAAGCTTGCTTCTCCAACCCAGTGGATCCGTACAACAATCCAAAACCTTAATCCTGATCAAATTAACAATCTCTTGCAATAGTTAGTAAAAAGGATACACTATATACTTTATCAAGTATGCATCTAAACTATTAAAACACTAATAAAAAATGACCATTTATTTGACGAAGCTATATTGTTTCCTTTACTCTTAAACAATTGTTCGTAGTACAAAGGACCCCGAGAGAGTGCAACCAGCACAATACCTCTGCAAATTAAAAGAAAACAAAACAAAACTGTCAGGACAATGTAAATCTGAACAACTTTTGCTTCTGGAATCTGAGTTTTAGGGTTTTCTTTAAAGAAGAGTGGACTCACTGTGACTGGGATTTTTGTGCAACAATAAAGGAAGAGAGCTGCGAGAGGACGTGATTGAAGAGTAGGGATCCAAACGGACTTTCATTTGAGTCTTTTATTGTAAGAGCAGGGGCATGCTCCCCTTCTAACGCGCCGTCGCGTAGGGCTCTACATATCCGTTCTGCCATTTTTGTTCAAGGGCATGCTACGGAAATTCCAATATAGAAACGTTTTGTAAGACCTGCTAAGAGTTCTTTTCTAATTCGTTTTAATAATTTGAATAGGATAATTCTAAGTGTAGGCCTATTTGACAGAATTTTTACTTTTGTTTTTATTTTTTGTCAAAAAATAAAAATAAAAATAAAAAATATATATATATCTTATTCTTTTACTCTATTTTATTTTTAATCACATAATTTTCTATAAAATAATATTACACACAAATCAAAAAAAATTTATTTTTTTTCAACCACACATTTTTCAAAAAAAATTATTTCAACCATTAAAATTTGAATAGAATGAGAGCCAAACGAGGGCATATATTTGGAGTGGATCCTTAAACATATAATCGCGAAGTTGGGGTCTGGAAGATGGGTTTTTGAAGGGCAATTGGCGCAGTCCGAAGAGATTTGATTGAATTCAAGTGGTCGACGTGGATTAGCTGGTGGCGGTGGCGGTGGCGGTGGCGGTGTATGTTTGAAGGAATATAGATATTTTTATCAATTCCTTGGCCCACAGAAAGAATTTGGCAATTTTCTGATCAAGGGTTTCATTTAAAGTAATGGTTCCATTACAGTATCGGAGAAAATTTATGAATTCCAACATTACTCAATTCAAAGTCATAATATAAATTTATGTTAGACAATATTCACTAAATTGTATGTCCTAAAAATTACAACAATATTCTAACAATAACTCTATTTATTCAGGCACAACTACAAAAAGAAATAAATATTTTAGTATAAATTATGGGATAATGTAAACATTCAAATTTTAAAGTTAAACCATAAACCCTAAACTAATTTTCACCTACAAAAAAAGAAAAAAAGAAAAAAAAGAGTTCACCTATACTAAAAGGCCCATTATCCATAATAAAATTTCAAATTTCAGCAACACTATAAAAATAAAATAAAAACCTAAACGGCGAAATTAAAATAAGCGATTGTAATTTGTAAAGAACATTCAAATCTCACAGAAGATTAATAGCAGCAAAATAAAATAAATCCACAAAACGTAAAGATTAAGTACACGTTAGAATTACTTATTGAAATTGCAGCTCAAAAAAATCGAAAAATGATTTACCTCAATTCTCCAAATGCTTGGAAGATGAATGGAAAGAAATCCTCAAACGGGTTTTCGTTTGCTGCAAAAGAAATCAGCTATGGATTTTATTTTTATTGCGAAAGGCTGGTTCTGTGCTCTGTCTGCAGAAACTCGGGAAGGAAAGTGGGGAGGCATGAGATTTCATGATTGGGCTGGACTAAGTAGGGGTGGGCGTGGGTTGGGTCGGGTCGGTTTTCGCCCCAACCCGAATCTAACCCAACATGATCGGTTTGGTCGAAATTTAATTCAACCCAACTCGTGTAAAGTTTGAAACCCAACCCAACCCAATCCAATCAAGTATCGGTCGGGTTGGGTTGGGTTGGTCGGTTTAGGACAACTTGTTAATAAAGATTAAAGTTATTCATTTTTGGGTGTAAAGCATCACTAATATAGCCCCAGAGCCTCAAAATTTACAAAACTAATTATCACAGCATAGATAAAATTCAATTGAGACACTAAAGAGTAGAAATCACAACCAATTTAGACGTTGATTTCTCACAAAATTCTCTAATAGTGGGACGGGATTGGAACTTATAAGGTAAAAAAATTTCATCAATACAACATACTCCAAATCATTAAATAGTGTCAGCAAAGAAGAAATAGCAGAGATGTAGTCAAAGAAGAGATCACCTGAGAGATGAGTCTGTTCAGATTAGTATATGTTGGCCTCTCAATGTCAAGTGACTTGCGCCAAATATCATAGATCGCCTCATTGTCAAGAAGCACGGCAACATCAGTGTGCTCCAACAAAGAGTGGGTCGAGAGAACAGAGTTGTATGGCTCAACCACAGCAGTCGAAACTTGAAAGGATAGGTAAATAGTGAACCTCAACTTTGATTTCTTACCATTCAACAGAAAGCCTCTCAAGCAAAAAAAATTCAAGTCCAGATCCAATGCCCCCACTGACAGCATGGAACACCATGAACCTTTACAATCCAGTACAATTATTCGTAAGCTTTCGGAGCTTGAGTGAGAGCGAGAGCGAGAGGGAGGGGGAGGGAGAGATTTTAGGGCTTCTTTTGGATTTGGGAGTGACCGAGTGATTAGCCATTTACGAAATTTTATTTTTTTATTATTTTTATTATTTTTTTTTTTTTAAGTTCGGGTTGGGTTGGGCGGATTGGGTTGGTTTTAATAGGTTAACCCACAACCCGACCCGACCCGACCCAACCCACCTACGTAGCCAAAAAACCGAACCCACTTAAAAACAACAAAAAAACTGACCCAACCCGGTCGGGTTGGGTCGGGTCGGGCGGTTTGGACGAGTTGGGTCGGTTTTTGCCCACCCCTAGGACTAAGCATATAATTTCATAATTCACAAATACAACTATTTTTTATTTCCAAAATATTGTATTGCTTATTATTTTTTTATAATACATTTTGTAAAAGGGAATGTCACATTATCTACACCATTCTACCACTTGTTTTTATTGTCATCGCAGTCAACACAATCCTCGTTTGCCACCACTTATAACAAACTATGTTACATATGTAATCTTTATTGTCGCCGTTGTCTTCTACACTAAAAACATACTATATTATATCATCACTAACTACATCGTTATCGTGCAATCACCACCACCAACATGTGTTACACTTATTGTTTGGAATCTACTTAACATGCACAGCGGAAAATTAAAACATATTTTGATTCCCATCAATAATCGCCTTTGTGTTTAGATAGAAATTGTAATAAGATTGTATCTTTTTCAGATCTGCAAACTTCTTTGCTATTCTTTTCGTTCCAGTAATCCTGATTCGCCACCCACAGCTGTCCAATTGTCCAGCTTCCAACAGTGATCCACACAGAGAACAAGATTGCAGCTACCAGGGTTTTCTCCTCTTGTACTAGCAAGAATAATTATGAAGAAAAACCACATGGATTGAAAACCCTAGCCATGTATTTATATAATCCCAAACGGGCCTGGTCCGGTCCGATCCAATATTTAATTAATCCATTTAATTAAATTCGGTCCGTGAATTAATTAATCCAATTAATTAATTCGAGCTTATAAATAACCAACACAATTAATTAATTTATCCAACGATTGTTAAATTAATCAATTGACAAATTGCAATCTTCCAATTCTCTTTTGTGTGCGACCCATCAGGTTCCCGATCACGATATCTAACGACGTGAAATATTATTTTGATCTAATCAAAATTGATAAATCAAAACACCCTTTTAATTTATCATCAATTCACACTCGTCGTCCCAAATTGACATCTAACAATGTGTCAGGGCAATACATGTGACAGAAAATGTCATGTGGTATGACAAAATCAAACTCGTTCATTTGCCGTGAAACTATAATCCCCTCGTCAATATGATCGGATCAATTACGAGATATGGAAGTGTGTCAATCTCGATTATCGATCATATCTTTCACTCCACTATTAAGTCAATATAAGTCGAAAACTTATTTTCGACTTATGAGTACACCTTGGTCAAGGATTTCGTTATCGACTTAATTGAATGAAACGCAGATTATAGTCTCTTACTATCTAAGAGAGTGACGAATCATTTATTGGTCAATCACAACCTTCATACGATTCTTGACGTACCCGATCGATTTCGTATTAGCGGTCCTTTGCAGAGCAACATCCAATACCGTCAAAGTATGACTGTCATCATATAAGGTACCATGACGATCTCAAGTCAAAAGACCAATTCCACTACCGAACGTTAGAGATTAACCACTGACACTCAGATAGTTATCCATGTGGAATCTCTCGACGGTCTCCAATGTTTTGTTCTATAACAAAACATCCACGTATTTATTTAAGTGTCACCACACTTTAATGTGTGAAATCAGCTACTTACTTCATAAGTAAGAAATGTCACACGTGAGGTCTATCCGTAATAACGATATTCGTATCTCGTTATTACTTATGACCACGGACGATTTAAGATTCAATCAGATATAATTTGTATCTCACAATCACAATTCCTTGTGATTAACAAATTATGAAGATTTGAATCTACGAACTCTATTATTTATTTAATTGTCTATTAATTAAATAATAGATCTGCCATTAAATTACACTAATTATATATCAAAAGTATTTACATTCAAAGTTGATTGGACCTATGGCATAATACTTACACTTGTAACATGTGTTGCACTGTTGTTGCAACCATTGTTGCGCACTACACAACATACAACACTTGTAAATTGTCTTACACAATTGTCGCCCACCACCATCATTGACGCCATAATCACTAGCAACCACTTTTGCAAACATTGTGACCACCTCTCCATACCTATAAACCACTACAACCAGTCAAATCTAAAGTCGTCATCACCCACCACAAATGATAGCACCACCACAGCGATCTCTCGCTTGCATTCCACCACCACTGAAAAAGGGCAACATCTGTAGATAAATTCCACAACAACCACAATCTTTGTTCACATTCCACCCCCACCACCATCGTTTTCACTTCCAAAAGCGCAAGCACCTTTAATCACTAGATCTGTGCTGCCTTTAGTAGAATTCCTGAGTAAAAATCAAAAGATTTTGAAACTTTTGCTCATTTTATCATGAGTGTCTTAATGAACATCCTAAGCCATATATTGCTTCTTTTTACCATTGCATGCTCAACTGTATTCAACAAGGTCATCAATGTTCGTAGTTCGGTACGCTCCTCCAACTCATCCAAACCTGCTTGTGTTCGATTTTGGAAATGTGTAGTGTATTAGGGGAGTAGCTAAATGATCAAAATTGGTGGTGGTGGTGGTGGTGGACGATCTGGAATCCATTCTCTTTCTTGCAATTTAATGATCGGAAAATGGTGGTGGGTGGCTCCTGTTCTAACCATGGGATTGGATGCATGAACTCTTGTAACCGCGAAATATTTGTGTTGGAAACATACAATTTAAAATTGATTTATAAGTTGTACATGTGGAGATTTCTAGGTCATGGGAGTGGCTGTTGATATTGGTGTTACACATTGCCTTGGATTTTCAAACTCGGGGACCTTTTATTTGATAATTTTTTACTTCAGTATTTAATGACCAATGTGCCCCTTAACCATCTTTCTGGCACCTTGGTTGCGAAAATGATAAGGGACAATTGGCTAAACTCAAGGACAGATCCAGAATTGTTGCTTGTGTGTATTTAGGAGCTTAAGCTTCTTGTTCACAATGTACCTGAGATTGTAGAAGTGGTTGGCAATGCATGTGCAGATCAAGTATTGCACATCAGCAACAGGATGGGGAAAAGAAATCAAAAAAGGGTTTTGTGTTCCATATTTACTGAACTCATGTCAGCTAAGAAGGCTGTGTTTTCTGAAGCAATCTCCAAGTTGATAAGTCGACTCAACATAGAACGTGAGGTATATAGGAATTCTTTCCTCTACTAGTTTTTGCTGACATTCATTTAAAATTTTCATCTCCGTAATCAAATACTGCTTGAGATGCTTTATTCGTCGTCACTAGAATTATTTAAGAGAAACTTTGTATTTGTTCAGTTTCTCTTTTCATTCTTAATTGCACGCAGCGAGATTTTGCTAGCAATTCAGTAGCGTTAGAGGCGTCAATTGAGTGGACTGTGCTCACACTTCACACTGGCTCGATGTGATTGAGTGGTGGATGAGTAGATAATATTTGTGGGTTTATTGGAGTGTGTGGTTAAAAATGAAGTTTGATAACTTATAAATAATTTATAAATCAGCCAAAAGGAGGATAGTCTGGCCTTGGATCCAATCCTAAATCCGTCCCTAGGGAGATGATGGTGTTATAGCGGCCTTCTTGCTTAATTACGTCAAACTTAGGTCGGGTGAAGCCTTATATTTAGGGGCAAATGAACCTCATGCATATGTATATGGTGAATGCATTGAGTGCATGGCTGCATCGGACAATGTTGTACGTGCCGCCCTTACTCCTAAGAATCGGGATGTTCAAACTCCCTGTTCCATGCTCACATACACAGGTGATGATACGAAAACTCATTGAAGACATTGTTTTGTTAAAACATTGTTCCCCCCTCTTTACTATTAATTTTAGACTGGCATAATAAATCCTTCTACACCTTAGAGCCTTGTTTTGTAGAGAGGAAAAATAAGCAAAAATTCCGCCCATTGTATTATCTTGTATAATTCATAACTGTGTATCAAACATACCTCTAAGAATCTTCATTCGACATAGGTTTCGTCAGGGATGGATTCAATGTGGCGGCAGTGGGGTCAGCTGCCCCACAGAAAATTTCAAAATTTGCCCAAGATTTTTTTAAAATTTTCTGAAAAATCCTTATAGTTTTCAATGTTTGCCTTGACAATCAAAATTTTGTGAAAATTGTCCTAACGATTCTTTTATCCTGGCTCCGTCCCTGGGATTCATAGTCTTGAAACTGCTCTCACCTAATTCAATTGCTATTGCAGGGCCTGCCACAAGTCCTCAAAGGAGTTGCTCTGAATGCTTGCGCAGTTAAATATATTCCTCCATTTGACGAAATTTGAGGTTGATCTAAGTTTCCTTCCTGAAGGAACATCAGCTGTTTTTCCGGCAGTCCCTGGTCCATCCGTGTTCCTGGTTATGGCAGGAGAGGGAAAAATACGGACAGCATCCAACGAAGAGTCTGTTGCTGAAGGAGACGTGCTTTTTACATGTGCTAACACTGAAGTCACCGCTGCAACTACATCATGTTTGCGTTTATATAGAGCAGGAGTGAGCAATAGGTTTTGGGAAGAGTCGAATACTTAATCAAACTAGATCGACTAGAAATTAATGGAGTTTTTTCATTTTTTCTAATACTATGTATTGTTGTATTTTTGTGTTTTAGCATCTGAATGTGTACATTGTAAATTCAGAAGGCCCAGTTACAGTTGCACATAGCAAAACCAAATTTCAACTAACAACAACAAAAATACTCCAAAAAGAACAAGTATCCAATAAGAAAATAGCTTGTCATTAAAATTCTCGCTTCCTAATGAACAAAGACCATTAAACAACATCTCTACAAGTCAACTTTAAATTACCAATAAGAATTAAAATCCATGACTAGAGAATCGACAAGAAAACAGGAAGCAATGGTTTAGGCCTCTGTAATGGGAAATTCGAACACTACATCTTTCCCTGAAAGCTTTCTGTAGACTCCAGCAAATGTCTCTAGCTTATTTTCAGTGTCATTCTTTGCCTTTGGATCCAAGAAAACCTGCAACAAGCGCCATTAATAAATTTGTAAAAGTGAGATGTGCATTTTATCAAATAATAAAAAAAAAGAACCTTCATTATCTTTGATCCATCAAGCCTGTATCGGATACGTTTTCCAACTATCTCAGCAGGATGAACAATATCCTCAAGCATGGCCTCGTGCACAGCTGTGAGTGTACGAGTACGGGGCCTCTGCATAGCAGAACCCTTCTTTGGCGGTCGCACTATCCTTCGTGTAGCAATGAAAACAACTTCCTGCAAGTAGTAATTCACAAGAAATTGAGGTGAGCAGATAGAAAATATTTTTAGGTCACTTCTGTTATGTGAATAATGCCTCTATATACTTAAAATAAAAACCTATTTAAGAAAATAGGTCGCGAAGAAAATAAAAAACAATATTATCTGCAATCATTAGTTATTTTAGTTCCTGTTGCAAATTATTATTTTATGTGGAATTTCTTATAGAGAGACAACTTCATTGATGAATACAAATATGTAGAGGCAAATATCATAAACCACCACATTGCCATTATATATTTGGACTCAGAAACACAATGGTAAATGAACTGACTCGATCAATCTGACCAAGGACACTGCAAGATAAAGTCATCATATTGACAACGTATCAAAGATTTTAAAAGATTCTCATTTAAATTAGCCATAGGTATAGTTACAATTCCAGCAGTTGCAAATTCAAGCAAAAGCAAAAAGTACCATGTTGGAAAATAAAGACTATTCTACCATCATATTTTCTTAAGAAGAGTGTTGTAAATACAGGAGCATCCATTGTCACAATCATATTATTACCTTTCCACTGAACTTCTTCTCAAGCTCCCTCACCAGTCTAGGATGAATCTTGCGGAAAGCTTTCCTCAACCGATAAGGAACATGGATCACAATAGCCTTCTTGTTTCCAGAGACATCAATTTGCCTGGAGAATCAAATGAATATATTTAATATCATGCTAGGCAGCAATAGTACCAACATAAGATCGACACATCTTACATGGCAGAATTGATGTAAAGATCTTTCAGTTCACTCTTAATATCTTGGTTCGTATTCTCCAAGTCGAACAGAGCCTGAAGAAAGTTCAAGAATGAATAAATCATGATGTAATTGAAATAACCAGTGCAATTAAATAATTGCAGTAAAAAAGGACTGAGTGAGGACCTGGGCAACAGTCTCCTCGAACCCGGTAGGCTCAGCATCCTTATCCTTGTGAATCTTTTGAAGTGCAGTGAACATCTTGAAAGATCTGATTTGGAAACAAAGGTATGCAATCAAATTTTTATGACTGGGAAACTGATTTCCCTTATCCAGTATCCAGGAAATAACACCAGGCAATTCAAAATTTTATTCAAGCATAAACAAAAACCAAATAATTTCCAACACTAGGCCAGTGCTTGTATCGGACATTCAAAAATTTCGCCTACAAATTAAAGGTGTTCTTCCCTACAGATGGATGCCACATTCAATTTAGTCATACAGCTTCGGCTAACACAGATAACATCAAAAATTCAACTTTTTATATATAAATTAAGTCCATCTGAACACTAATTTTGACAGAAAAACTCCATGTTACCTATTTGCAAAGCATATAATATTAGCATAAATACAATTATCACGCTATTACCATTTATTTTTCAACTCTATCATAGATTAAACATTTTGATCTACTAAAATTCTCAATAATATGAAAATGCTACAAATTTTCTAAGCAAGAATTCTATCTAAGACACTTCCTCCGTATAAATTATTCATAATGCATCTCTAATGGGAGGAATTATCACTGTTAACGCCAGAAATACATCATTAACCATGCAAAACAAAACCCTCACACAGGGCGGAGCCACCTGGTGTCTAGTGGGGGCAACTAGTTTTTCAGGCAACGGAAAAACATAAACAACCTCAGCAAAAATTCGAGTGAAATAATGTTGAAAAATTTAGAGAAAGATTACCATCAACAAACATTTCTGGAAAAATAAAAATTATAAGGAGCTGAGTTCAAATTAAATCATTCACAACAAATAAATCAAGTCGATTTCAACATTTAATGCCCGTTTCAACACTAATACAATCCGATACTACCTTCCAAGTTTGGTGATGAAGAAGTTGAGTAGAAATCACTGCGACATAGATAAATTGGTGCAGTGATGAATATCAGAGTACGTTCCCAATTTATAGTGTAATACCTAGAAAGAAAACCTAGGTCCGAAGACTCTTCCCCATTGCTAAACAGACCTGGGTTATCCTTAGATGGGCTTTCCTTTTGGGTTTTACAACTATTTTTTGGAAAACTAGGCCCACTACACTTAAAATATAAAGCTTATCTTTGGCTCCAATTTTTCAAAAATTCATTTTTTAAAAAGTTATTTTTAATTACACATTCTTCCATAAAATAATTTTACACGTAAATAAAAATTTCTTATTTTTCACCACATTCTAAAAAAGAAAGAAAAAAATTGTCCCAAAATACATTTTCATGCTAAAATAGGATTCAAATAGGGACAAAATATTAGATTAATACCCTTAAAACGATTAAAACTGTAAGGCCCTGTTCTCTTTAACGTTTTCGGGCCGTTTTTTATTTTCGATTTTTCAAAATGGTGAAAACGTGTTCTCTTTCCCGTTTTCGAAAACGAATTTTCGAAAACGAAAAAAAAAGTTGTGAACAAAACACAAAACGACTTTTTTGTCGTTTTGGGCATTTTCAGTGTAAAACTTGAAAAAATTGAAAACACGGGAAACACCCTCTATTTTTTTATTTTATTTTATTATTACTTTTTTTTTAGGAGGTGGTGTGGTGATTCTCAAAATTTAAAAAGAAAAATAAAAATAATTTTTTTTTTTTGAGGTGGTGTTGTGGTGATTCTCAAAATTTCAAAAAAAAAATTTATTTTTTTTTTGTTTTGAGAAACTAACAAAAAGAACGCATTTTCAACAATTTCAAAACAAACACTCAAAACACAAAACTCAAAATGAATTCAAAACTCAAAACACAAAATTGAAATATAAAGAGAACACCCCCTAAATTTCCGTATTAATTACACCAAAAAATTTTGTCACATTTTGAGATTTCATCACTTTTTTTTTTATCACTTTTTGAGGTTTTGTTATTTTATTAATTTATTGTCACTTTTTACTTAAAAATACTCTTTCTTTTTTCTTTTTATAGAATTAAGAGTTAATCATACTACAAGAATATTGGTTTAAATCACTTTTCTATGAAAAATGACATGACATACTTTAACATTGATATACCTTGACTTCTTCTAAAAAGTGTATGGTATGTCATTTTTTATATTTTAAAATTCATAAATTTATTTTTAAATTTAGCTTATATGTAAATATAAGGATACATCAAGAAATTGCATATCAATGATAATAAAGACAACTTTGTCACTTTTTAATAGTATCAAAATTGAGTTTCTTAAAAAAATGACATATCTGATACAACACTTTTTAACGAAAAAGTGATGTTTGCATTTTAACAAAGATTGTTGTATGTACAATCTATTGTGATAATATTTCAGTCATTTTATCATTTTTATATTCATCATCTTGTCCCCAGTTACCTCTAGAACAAACAGGCATTAATTTTATCCATATCTGCAAAAGAATACAAATGAAATCGTGGGAAACATTGTTTTATTTTTGAAAAAAGTAACAGCGTATATCACTTTTACTTTCCAGCAAAATAACTCGTATATAAAAATACAAATAAAATTTTATGTCATATCACTTTTTAATGTAAAACAAGATTTGAATTCATATATTTAAATTTAAAAAAAAAAAAAGCACACATGTATGCATTTATTTAATTACTCCAATTAAATTTAAATGAGATATACTACAACCTTTCAATTAAAAGTGACAAGGAATATCACTTTTTCAAATTCTCATTTTCCCAAGCACCTTACATGCATCATTAAAATTGATTTTAAGTTAATTTTTTTATATATATTAAGTCATTCCATTCTCTCTCAGAGGCCTAAGAAGAAAGCCATTTGTCCCAACATAAAAATGAAACTAAACCAAATTAAGTAGAAATACAAAATAAGCAAGACTTGAATTAAAATCCATAACAATGGCAGATTTGGAGAACTAATTGTTGAATAAACAATTCAAAGCATAAAAACCTATAATTTTTAGTTGATTATTTACAAGTTTGAGGAAGAAGTTTTGAAGAACAAGTAGTCGAAGCCGCCTTGATCTTGTTTGTGCTTCCTCTTTAAATTTTCGATTTTCTTGATTTCTCCAGCTTGGAGGGGTTGAAAAAATCATTTTGCTAATCGGCTTTAGGTTTGTACTAAAGATGGTAGTGGGGCAGGACAGTGGCTTGCCCCATTTTTTTATATTTAAATTTTCAAAATTTAGAGTTATGCTATTATTAAAGAATAAAATACAAATTCAAAATTTTAAAATCCAAAGTAAATAATTCTAAGATAGAAAAATGGTAACCAACCAATGAAAAACATTTACAAATCATACAGTCAATATCAAGTTGATTAACAGCATTTACAAATTGTTGATGGAGCTCGACTGACCAAACCACACGTGGTTTCTTCAAAGTAGGTATATCATCCATTTCTTCTACTTCATCTTTCTCATCTTTCCTTTTATTGGAATTATTCATGTTCGCTTCATAAGGAGAAGACAAGTAGTCAACATCTTCGAGTGGGTTTTGCTGCTGTTCTCCATCTTCCACACTTCTAGGTTGCTCAAATTCTATTTCCTTCCGATTTTGCTTCTTTTTACTAACTATATATTGCCACATATTGTTCAATGCGAATTGATTTGATGAGATAATCACACGTACCATGAATAACACCCTTCATGACAATATCTTTGCTTTCATCCGCAGAAATCACTGATCAATCAAATATCTTTTTATTTATTTAACGAGATGGGTTCGGGGTAGGGCCAACCCGTCGGGGTAGGTTTTTTTTTTTTTTTTTTTTGGCCCCATTCAGGGTGGGGCGAAATTTTAACTTTATTCTTTCAGAAACCCAAGTACATATTATGACCTTATTTGAGCCACATTTAAAAAATATATATACATTCTTAAACTGTAATTTGACATCATTTCAACCACATATTCATCAATAAAATAATATTAAATGTAAATTAAAAAAATTCTCATTTTTAATACACACTGTCCATCAATCTACTATTCTAAAATACATTCCTTTAAAATAATATGGCTCAAACACACTCTATATTGTACCCCACCTCACCTCACGCTGCCTATCCTATTATTAGTTCTCTAAGCCATAATTCACACCCATACTACAACAACTGTCACTCGTCACCACCGTCCCATCATTACCAATACTTTACCATCGCCCCCCATCTACACCACTTCACCACATCCCCGGGCTAAGTAGTGACTGTTGCTGTTCGTAACAACGTACAATGCTACATTGATTTGTGGTGTGTCGTCACATATTAGGAAGAAGAGAATTTAGAGTTTAAGTGGGGATTTGAAGAAGGGAGTCTCTAGTGCAATATAGGGCCCTACTTGCAATTTCAAATCAAGTTAAGTTTGCAATGGTGCATGCAATTTCAAATCAAGTTAAGTTTGCAATGGTGCAAGTAGTTGAGGTGAGGTGGCGTTATGGTGATGTCGATGGTGGTGGTTGAGTGGTGATGGAATGGGTAGGATAGGATGAAGAACGTTTGTGACAATAAAATGAGTTATTTGTGACTCATAATTTGTGCTTTTGTGATGGTAACCTCCTTTGATTTGTGGTTGTGACCATATATTGTGTTTTATTATGACATTGAACTATTTAATTAATTAATAAGTTACAAAATTGTTATCAAGTTATCACAAATGTGACCACCTAGTTTTTGAAAAAATAAAATAAAATCACAAATTTCTTATTTTTTAAAGTTTATCTTGAAACATTTATAATTAGATTTTTTTCCATACATTTCCCTAATGATTAATGTAACAGAATGGGATTCTATCGAATTCTAATCCCTTTTCTTAGACAAGCCTCAATCAGTTAAATAATTGTGAAAATTACAGAGAAGCCTACTTTTAAAAATCACATTTCATAAATCATATGCTAGGTTTACTATTTCAAAAATCAAATGTTTTGTTAATTTAATATATTATTATTAGATATATATATTATTAAATTAAATTAAATTATAAAACCAACCCTACCTCCCTCCATCCCACCTCATTTCCTCCAAACTCATTCTCTCTCTACCTCCCTCCTTCCTTGAAATAGGATCTTCGACGATTTTGTTAGCCACAGCCTGATCGAGGTGGTGGATCCTAGATGGCTCCATTGGTATGAGGTCTTCGATCTCCGTCAACCGACGAGGAAGGAAATGCGCCAGATGACGTTGCTAGCATTGAGGGCTACTAAGAGTTCTCAGTAGCGTTGCTGCAACGTTGATTCCAACTTTACGAACGGCGAACAGCAACGCTACTGTCTTTCAACATCGACTGGTGCGTACATCCCTTCATCGCGTTGCAGTCCTTCGTCACGACGCTACAGTCCTTGGGGTTTTTAGGTATGACGATGGTGGTGAGATAGTGGTGTGGTTGGATGCGTTGGCGGTAGGTGTATGTGCTGTGGGTGGCATGGTGTTAGCTGCGTGGTGATGGCACTGTCTGTGTGCAGTTGTTCTTGACCAGGTGTGTGGTGGGTTCAGATATGATTGGTGGTGGTGGTGTAGTGTTTGGTTGGATGCCGTGGTGTTGGTAGCGTAGTGGCGGCATTGTCGACGTGTGGTGTTTGACCAGTTGCAGTGCAGATATGCATGGTGGGTTGGTAGGTTCAAATCTGGTTGGTGGTAGTGGTGGTGATGTAGTGGTGGTGTTCTTTTTTTTTTTAATGATGGGGAAATCTGCAGCTACTACCCTTTCAAGTTCGCACTGGGTAAACCCTCGGGTTGACACAATAGTTTGCAAATCACGCCAATCAGGTAAACCGCACAAAGCTTGACAGGCTCGATTGAGAAAGTGTTAGTAGGAGAAATTGAACTTGAAACCAAAGGTTTTCGTTTTCAGCTATTCCACGAACTCGCCCACCCCATGTGTGGCAGTGGTGTTATGTTGTTATTGTTGGTGGTGGTTGTGGCAGTGGTGGAGGCGACGGCAGCGACGAGATGATAATTTGTTTGTGATCGATAATTTGTGATAAAAAATAATGTGTGATCGACAATTT